ACTGAAAATAAGGTTTGGAGGTCTGACCTAGAGTGACTGTGAATGGATAACAGCTGTCTCTTGCTTTATTGCATGTTTTTCAGAGCAAAGGTGAAAATTGGTTAAGAGGGCTTTTGAGAGACTGAACTGCCTTCAGCCTCAGCGAGGCGAAGCAAGCTGGTGGGTTTACTCCAGTTCCTCGGTGTGGCTTTAGTTAGCGCGCTGGGCAAATCCGCTTTGGGGTACGGGCTTCCACCCCGCCAGCAGGAAACTATTTATAAGAGTCAGTGAAGTGGCTGTGAGCTTAGAGTGTTACAGTGACATACATTCGTATATTAGCGTGTGTGGAAATTAGTCTTCTTGAATGAGATTCTCATTAATTTCAGTGAGATTTACATAATTCCTGAGTGCATACTCAGCATTTAATGTGAAGGGGAGGAATGTTCTTGTACAGTGAAATTGCTTTGTAACTCTTGTTCAGCTGCTGATGTATAGAGCCTTAATTTTGGTAAGCAGGCTTCAAAAGCAAGCTTGCTGGTTTTCTGCATTATCAGAAAGAGAGAGTACCCTTGTCAAGAAGGGGGGAAGGTCTGTTCTTGCTAGCTGGTGAGGATGCGCACTTTGCGTTTTGCTTTGCAGGGGTGGAAGAGGCTGAAATGGGGCCGTGACTGAGGGCTGCTGCTGTCTGAGAGCGGGAGTCAGGTTTTGTTGTATCACTTATGAAGCAATTTTGACTACAGCTGACCTCCCCGTGTGATTCCTGATGTTTCTCGAGATCACCTCTTCCTCCAAGGGACCAGGTTGTCATGTTGTATCCAGATGTCAGGGCATCGCTTCCTTGTGCAGCCAATTCATCTTGGCGTTGTCTTCTGGATTTCTTTCAAAACTGGTGCAGTGGTGAATCAGATTTTATGGTAATCAGATCTCATTGATGTTAGTGCTCATCTGTGAAGAAGTTCCTTCTCTGTGGACCTCCTTGTTTCTAGTGTTTATACCATCGTGACTGCTCTCCATGTCTGTGTTCGTTACAGGTCAGTGATAGCTAACAGGAATAGATACCAGTGACGTGGCAGATCATCTATATCATTTCATTACCATTTCAGAGTGTTGCCTGCCTTTTGGAATCCTAAGGTGTAGGAAGTCATGACTTTGGCTTTGTGTTCTGCTGTTTCTCAAGCTATTTGTTCTTCTTTCAAAGGGAAATGAAGGAGCCCTGTGATATTTGTGCGTACTGTGTAAGAAGAGGTGTTGCTGTCTAATATAGAAGTGGGGAAATAAGAGGAGGATCTTTTGGGTACAATCTTTGAAAATTGAATAATAAGCTAACCTATATTAGAAACAGATACAGTGATCAGTGGAGATAAAGGAACTATCTGACTGAGAGAAAGGGCCTCAAAATTGGTGATTGTATGCATACAGTGCCCAAAGTCAGGCACAAAGACGTGATTAAGAAAATGTTTTTATCCATAGTTGTTAGGATTGATGAAAGAGAAATGATTAGGGGTGTGACTTAAATACCTGTAATGAATAATTTCTTCTGTTACCATCTGGCAGCAGATAAAGAAGCCAGTATTACTGTTTTCTGCTTTTGATAGTGACTGGGGTAAAGTACAGTTGAGAATGAGATTGAGGCAGCCATTTCTCCTGTGTATCATTTCACAGGAAGGTTAGGATGGCAATTTTCAATCTAAAGTGTGTTTGAAGGACAGCTTCCTTCAAACCCTTAAGAGAGGAGTGAAAATAATAGTGCTCTGTTAGGTCTGCAATTATACCAACCTGGTATGAAATGGCTGGGGTGCTTTTTGCTCTTTGTTTATCGGGCTTTTTGCCCTTTACCATGATTCTTATCTTGGTCTCTGTGTCACCTCTGTCATAGTCAGCTATCATGGCATCACTTGACGACAAACATGCATCTCCATGTTGGAAATGGTCAACACTGAGGAGATCTGTCTGTGCTTCCTGGGCTGTAGCTCTTAGAGAAACAGGAATTGCTAAATGTTGTGGTTTCTGGTGGAGGATCATGAACTTGCATTGAAGGCATTGACTGTGTTGGAGATGATGTCGTTGTTAATGTTTATACCAGCTCTAGCTTCACCAAGAATTCAGGCTAGCATGGAAGTACAGCTTCACACGTGGTTGTAAATCCCGTATCTGCACTGCTGTAACTGGTTTTACAAGATGATAACATGGTTTTCTACTCAGGACAAGTGCTTGAACAAGGCATCTGTGAAAATGTTCTTGCATGTAAAATGGTGAACAAAAATAAATGATTCTAGTGTTTTTGAAAATGTTCGGTGGAGCAAGGATGGCCACGTAACATGCCAAGATACCATAAAGAAGGGTGAGAGAGGGACTGAGAAGTAGAGTTTTATTCTTGTTCAGAAACTGCTGCACGTTCTGCACGGGGCTTTCATAGGGATGTTAGTGCAGCTGAATCTGCGAGGGGACTCAGCTTGGCAGCAGGGAGTTGCTAGGGCTGGGATATGACCAAAACAAACTACAAATGTCTCTTAATATCCTTTTGATTTATGCTAGGAACGCAATAATTATATCTTTCTTGCAGCTTTGTTTTGAGGTTCCCATAGCACAGCATCCACCTTGGGGAGTTTATTTGTCTTGGTTAAGTGGGGGACGCGCACTGAAGCAGACTCTGTTTCTCCACTAGCACTTTCACAGCACTGCAAGTCCTGGATCGGTGCCGTCGTGGCTGCTGCTGTGGTTTGCTGGGACGTTGCTTTAGCAGTGAGAGTAATGAATATCACCTACTGAATCTGTTTGTATAGCTTCTTTATTCCTCACAGGTCTCAGAGAAATAATAATTTGCTACTGTTCAGCTTTGCAGCTTAGCATGTCCAGAGGGGGGTTGCAGCACTTTCCATGAGTTCAGCTTGAAATGCTTCATGGAAGAATTTGGTCTTATCAACTTCTGTCTCACATGAGGCAACCGAGGTATCTTAGCAGCAGATCAGTGATGGAGTTAACAGTCAAGGAAAGTCCTTGGTGTTGCCTGGTGCTGCAGTTTCTGGAAGGTGTTTTCACTCTCTGCATTCATGGTTGATGTGATAAGCGTCACCACAGAAGGTGGCAAGACTGAGGCATAACTGAAAATAACTTTGAACTGAGATACAGTAATAAGAGGATATCTTATTTTTAAACTGTGATTCTGAGTGACTGGCCATTGAGGATTTGCGAATTACAGAAATATGTATTAGATAGTTTAACAATATGTTACTAATCTTTTGCAAAGTGGTATTGTTACAGAATAGCAGAAGAACTCAGACTGGAGGGGACTGGAGGTTATCTGTGGTACTTTCCCTACATGATAGTCTTGGATGAGGTCTGTTGAATCTTGTCTTAAAACAGAAATAAAGCATAATCAAAACAAAGTCTTGACTTGGTTCTGCTGGAAATAGTGGCACGAGTATTAGAAATCAGGGTTAAGGTCAGCAGACATGGTGTAATTGCTTACAGGACTGGTCACTGGCAGGGTGGTGCATTAGCATCTACACCAGTTTTGGGGTTTTTTTGGTCCTATAAATCACCTGCCTGGTATTACTGTTTCCTTCCCTTAGAGGAGGCTGCATCCAAATCTCCTGCTGTGTCTTCAGTGGCGACACAACTCAACACTGCGTAATAAAAAGGGCCCGTGAAGAACTTCAGTGATAGAGTGTGTGGATTACTCATAAGTGTTTTACAAACTGTTATCCCAGCTCTAGCAGAAAGGTGTATCAGATCTGTTGGGTTGCAGGGATTATGTAAACATTGAGTAGGAGGTGTGTAGTATTGCCTGTGTACCATTGTAAGTGTTCATGGCTGTTATAATAAGCGTTGCTTTGATACAGGTGTGTTATCTGAGGAGGGCAATCATTTAGTCTGAATCCTAGCACATGGTTGAACTTCTGTCCTTTGTCTTCAAGTCCATGGTTGTTTGTTTTTTTCTTTGCTTCTGCACGTGCTCTTAATGGATGCATCTGTAAGGACTTGCCTAGATGAGATTTGGACATGAAAATCAGAAGTGTTTTCTTGCATTTTCGATGTATCTGACTTAGCTAACAGTTTTAAATTGCTGCTTTTTTAATGTTCTGATTGAATCAATTTTAATCAAGTCATGATCCAAAGCAGAAGTGGATGATGGCACAACTCCCCAAGTAAACATATAGCTACAGGTCCTCCAGGTGAGCAAGGCCAGTGTCACCTCCCAGGGCTGTCCCCTATCTCCTGCTGCGCCTGAGCTCTGCCCTTTGTGAATCTGGAAGGGCTGCTTCACTGTTGCCTCTCCCTTGTGTGCCTTGCCTTTGCTGGCAAGTCTTGGGGCTCCCCGCATAGCCACGGATCTGTGTGGCTGCTGTCCACATGCTGGTGACCTCTTGGGAATGAGGAAAAGGCTATACCCCATCAGGGGTTTACTTAAGGTGTTTTGCACCCTCGTTTGTGCTTCTGAATTTTAACTTTGAGACATTGTTGTGGGTACAATAAAACAAGCAACTGATCTTAAGGCACAGCTTGCTCTCCTTTCCTCGTCCGCTGCTCCCCATTTTAAATGGTGTTACTTAATTTAATTTGCTTTTTGTTTCTACCATTGTGTTTTTCCCTTTCATATCAATGTAACTTGAATATAAATCTGCCTATTTGATACAAGAGTCTACTTGATTTTCACCTGAAAGGAAATGATGCTGACTCTCTTGCTCCCTCACCTGAAATCCTGCAACTTACTGTGAAATATTAGTCTTTGCAATACACTTAGCAAAGGCAGCTGTGTTAGACTTTTTTTGTTTCTTAAAAGTAATTGCTCGTTTTTCCTTTTTTTGTGCCTGTATAAATTTAACTATAAATCTTGTAGCTTCTGGGAGTCTTAAAGGTAAGTCATCATCTGGAGCTCAATAACCTTGTTATATGCTGTAATATGGAATGTAGCTTTCAGTGTGTATCAGAAAAAATGCTATAAACTGTGATTATCATAAAAAAACCCTCAAACCCACCAAGCATTTCCTCATGTATTTTTCTTACCCATCTATAAATAGGTGCGTTCCATGGATGAACTGAATCATGATTTTCAAGCGCTTGCTCTGGAAGGACGGGCTATGGGAGAGGTAAGTGAAAGGCCTATAGAAAAAAAATCTGTGTATTTTTTTGGGGGAGGAGGAAAATAATTAACAGTTTTTGAGGCTGCTAGCATGATTCTGAACTTGAGAGTTGTCCATTATGACTGTGAAGCTTGTGTGTGTGTGTGTGTGTGCTTTAACAAAATAAAGACCTGTCAGGCTGGAATACATCTTAGTAGGAGGAACAGCTAAGCCCCTCCACCTGTTGTATCATCAAACAGTAAAATGGTGGTTGTAAAAGAACAGTTAGAAATATGTCTTGTGACAAGTGTTACAATACTTGTAGCATGTTTATTTTGGGATCCAGTGATCTCAGACCCCATAATATTGTGGGTTTAGTTGTTTGTCATTGTCTACTGCCCTGTTTCCACTCCTGGCCACCTTTTGGCTCTTGTCATAGAGCACAGGACTGTGTTTAACATTTAAAGTAGCTGGGCAATGTAATCAAGGGCTGCAGAAGTGATAAGTGTTTTGGACAGGTCAAAGGACTGCTGAGCAAGGAGTTGTCAGATAATGGGCCCTTTAGTTCCTAACTTTATAGAAACCCAGTGGGAGTTCATTTAATCTCGCAGCACAGTGAGGAGGTGACTGATTTGGGGCACATGGCCATTGGTTTTCTTTGAAAAGAGAGAATTTACCTGTTTTTAGGGTGACCTGAAAGAATAGCAGGTTACTGTAGACTGTGTTAGGTTCCTGAAAGTTGGATGTAAACGCTTCTCTTACTTGCTTCATTCCCTTTTCCTTTATAGTCAGTCCATTTATAGGCTTGTGGATGAACAGGGATGAGAAAATCATGTCTTGTGGAAGATATTAATGTACAGCAGGTCAGCCTGATAGAGGGCGGCTGTTTTAGCCTTTCTTTTTAGTTTCCTGTCCATCAGGTTCAGACTAGTGTATTTTCTCCACATTTAGTCCATTCTATCTCTGTTACCTAGTTTATGGGCCAGGCTAAAAAATAAAAAAGAAATCCCTGGAACTCAAAAAGTACAGTTTTGGAGGAAATGACAAACCAGGACTACTATTGCTTGGTGGGATTCATAAGAAGGTGCCATCTCTGGAGTGAAAGACCAGGGAATTCATGGGGCTTGCAGCTTAGCTTCTCTCCTTCCTTCTTTTTCTGGAAGATCGTAATACTAAATTGCATTTTAATTTGACAGTACTTGATAGGAAAATCTGTTTCTCTAGGTTATATTAACCTACATTGAAATTATTGACTAAGAGTAGATGAAAATGATTTACAAAGGAGAAAACATGACATTAAATATCCGTCTAAAGCTGCTGAAAAACAGCTGACGTGCCTCCATATGAAGCATGCCAGTGGAATGATGGGGGTGTGAATGTTCTGTGAATATTATTTTTTTAACACCTTACTTGGGCAAGACGTTCATTTTGAGACATAGAGCTACAGGCTCTTTGCAAGCCAGTTAAGAGTAAGTACAGCACTTGCTTTGTACTTAAGTGGCATTAGGTCATGTTAGCTTAAATGCCTGAAGGCATTCCTAACTATGCTGATTTTTACCAACTCAGTTTATTTAACAGTTTCTTCAGAGAAGTGAATTTGGGCTTGTTTTTTTTTAAGATACGAGGTTTGCCTTTCAATGATGACTCACCTTTTTTTTTGTTTTGGTTTCCCCCCCCCTTCTTGTAACTGTGATGCGGAAAGTTTTGGAGCTGGAATCCTTTTTTGTCACTGGGCTTTTCCACACACTGGAACGTGCATGTTTTTCCAGGAAAGGTGACATTTCACCTTTCTCTTTAAGAAACTATTTCTTGTTTCTCTTGGGGTTTTTCTCCCTCATCCCACAGTTTCCTTTCTTTATCTATTGAATTTTCTCTGTGTTTCCCCAAGGTATTTCAACATAGATCCAGCTGGCTGATTTAAAGAACTATGTAAACTGAGATCCCCACAGGATATGCGTATTGGCTTTCAAGACCATGTTCTGCAACTACAGACTTTGATTTTGTGCAGCGTGCCCTATCTGTTGTTTAGATGCCTTAGCAAGGCACTGATAGTTTCCTCTGCTCCTCCTGCTCCTAGAATGTGAAGGAAACTTATGGAGAAAGTCAGAAATAAACAAGAAAAAGAGAGAATTTGATTTGTATTTCTTCATCTTGTGTCTTCTGAGCCTTACCCGCAGGAAGCATCAATAATATCATACTTATGGTTGATAGTGAAAAACCTGGAGGAGAAAGATAGGAAAACAGTGTTTATACATTTAGTGTATCTTTTTATCTTCCTGTTTTCTTGCTTCTTAGTAAGCAACATCATAATTTTAGTGATTTAAGGAGTTTGTGCCTCTGAAGACATCAGAGCATTTTTTTTTTTTAAAGGGCACTGTCAAACAATTAAATCCCTTATCTGCCTTTTGATGGCAGGATAGATAATATTTGATGATGAACAGATATCTTAATCTGGGAAAACTAAGACTAGTTTAAAAAAAACCAAAACACAACTTTCATCTGCACTGTGGCTGTTTCCATCTTCAAAATCTGACCCTCCTCCACTGCAACCAGCCTTGTATGCCCCTAACTTTCTGTGTCAGTGGAAGTGTGATACTTTCTCAAGTGTGAGATAGAAAAGAAGAGCTGTAGAAATCCCTTTTGCCCTGCTCTAAAATGAAAAAGATTGGGACCATTAATAGTGAACACGGTCAATAATGTTGCAAGTAGCCTTCTAAAAAAAGAGGAGAAAAGATACCTTTTTTTTTTTTAGCACTTTGTCCAGGTTGTTAGCTGTAACAAAGGAAGTAATCTTAGAGCCTTACTACGAGCCACATAACTGTAGTGAAATCTTAACTGGTTTTATGTCAAACTCCCCTTCTCAGCAGATGTTGAAACTGGAAAGTGATAAAAAGCAATTGTGTACAGGAACTGGTGGAGAATGGTGCTTCAGGAGTGACACGGAGGGGCCGGTCAGTCTTGCTGCTTTAGTACATAGGCTAGGACGTGTGTCCAACTTGCTGAGCTGGCTGCTGAGGTCTTTGATCACAATGCAGTGGTACTTATCTGAGGCTTAACATGAGCTATGTAAGTTCTCTTTCTTTTCTGGCCTTCTAGACACAGGAGCTGGCTATGTGCTTTTCTTCACTTAAATCTCTTTTATCTGTAGCTTTGAATTTTTGAATATAGGTGCAGTGTCTTTTCAGGGTAGTAGACAGTGCAGGGAGACTGCACGGTGGTGTTTGTCATCAGTGCATTACACGTATTTTGAACTACAGCAGCCGCCTTGATTTGGTAGTAGGTTATGCTGTGTGATAAGCCTGTGGTCTAGAATAAAAGAGCAGCTGGGTGAGTAGCTAGCTGTAACTTAATCCAGGAGGGTGGAAGGAGGATGGGAACAGAAAGATATTAGGCAACTGGTAGGTACTTAACTTCAAAAATGTAAGGAGTTGGACCAGAAATTGTAAAGTATCAATATTGGGGGTAACAGTGAATCTCAGTTGAAAAGAAACACTGGTAACAAATATCTTCCACTTTATCTGACAAGCATTTAATTATTGCTCTTGCTGCTGTCCCCTGCAGGTTTTAGTGCTGGAGTCTAGTGTAGGTCTGGCTCTGGCCAAACAGTGAAATTACTACAACCCCCATTGTTCCTTGTAGCAGAGCTCTTGAACATCAAAGTTATAGGTGGTTCACCATGTCTGGGTTTATGTCCCCTTGATGCAGTTGGTCAGGTCGTTGACAAGCCTCTGCCTCTCCAGTGACCTTTTTAAGCAAAGTGGTTGCGACACTGGGCCTAAGACATTCTTGTATCTGGTTAAAAAAAACCCCCAACCCCAAACAAAAAACAAGGAGGAGAAAAAAAACCCAACCCTAAAAAAAACCCCCACATGACTCTGCTCATGATGCCTTCACTGTGTTCTCATAAATTTATGATTCACTGGCAGCTGGGCTGGGGCTATTGATGGTTTTGACTAATGTTTCTGCTCAGTTGTTTGGGTTTTTTTTCCCTGCAATTTATCTAGTGCTAGCAGCCTTAGAAATGGGAGGATCGAAGCTGGGTTTGTGAAGTGGGGTGGTGCTGCAGCAGCTACACTGGCACGTCTGGATGGCTCGGGGCAGGCCAGGCCACACCAGGGGACAGATGATTTTATATATTTTTTTTAAAACCTTGCCCACCAATATTCCCAATTGTATGATGATCCTGCCCCTTTTTTTTGTGCTATCAGAGACCCTCCTGCGAGCCAGTTTAACTCCCTGAGCTGGCAGAAAGCTGTCTGTTTTTTGAAAGGGAAGAGCAAAAGCTGTACAGCAGCCGGTGGCAGTCAGTCTCGGATTGCTTGGTGTGTGCTCAGCCTTCCTATCTTGTTTGTTTTTTAGATGGCAACATTTTTTTAGGGTAGATAACATCTTAGTGTTTGTAAACCTGCAGTGCTGCCCAAATGTGAACTTGTAAATACATGCTCTGCCTTTTCCTACCTGTTGCTGCAGATAAACTGAGTTCTCCAACTGCACAGATGGCTTCTTTTATCTCAATATTTGCCTTGTCTGAAGGGGATCAGTTTACTTAATTTGTCTAATTCGTAATCCCATCTCATTGGGATCTATATGCACAGGCTCTGCACTTGTTGGTTGTAGAATTGCTTTTGTTGATGTGGAAGTTGTCCTCTCCTTTCCTCCCCACTCTGCTAAATTAATATTGGCCTAACTGTAAGTCCTCTGTAAAAGAGCTTTAAAAGGATTATTTTCATACAAGATAGGGTCAATTTTAATAAAAACTGGGAAACAAATAAACTAGTCTACTTTTAAACTGCTGCATATTCTTTTCTAATTTCCAACCTGAAGAACAGGTTAATGCTTAAAATATATATTTTTTTCCATTACAACTGACAACTTTACCTGAGGAAAAATTTGTTGTCTTGGCAGTCTGTTGCATAATTCAGTACTGATGATTACTGCTTGCTAAACCTCTAGATTTGGTTGGAGCAGTACTTGACAGAACAAGGACCCCCATTGCCGTCTGTTAATATTGGTTTTTGGTTGTGTCC